TTCACGTCAGCGCAAGTCATTATCGTTCGCGAAGAAACTTTTAATCTCTTAATTGCTGCTCTAAAATGAACCGAGTCAAAGGGTACATTAGTCGGCTAGCAGCGATATTTCAACGATAATCGCGAAGAAAATAATTTTCAAGCTGGATAGCGATCTGTTCCGTTAATTCGTCACAATCGAGAACAATTTACTGGTCGACCTTCGTCTGTCGTGTATCGCTAGGCGTGCAGCTGCGATCGCGATCCCGTACCGTGTCACGAAATCCGCTTCTGGAAAAGCTCGAAGAAATTCTGCTGGTAAACGATCGACGAATAAGGCGGGGAAAGGGAAACACGGGATGCTAAATCTGCTTTGCTCGTCAGCTAGAAGCGGCCTACATTTCCGGAGGCTAGCACTGTTGCTATGATGCAATCGCGAGTGAGGCGAAACAGGTGCGGGATGCACGCTACAAACGTGCAAACAGAAATTTAGGCTGACAGACGATACTTTGAGAGAACGTACGTGCTTGTAAATAAAGAAGACCCCGAGTGGAACTCGGGGTACTTTGCGGTAGAAGCTTGGTTATTGAAATTTTAAGCTCGGTTAATGGACATTTCAATTCAGTTCTGAGCTAAAATGTAAAGCTTCCTTATTCGAAATTATAGAATTTCAAGGATTAATTTTTCATCGTTACAAATTTGTCATTGGGGAATAATATATTATGCTTCAGAAGGATTTATCTTTTGCGTGAAAATAAATCTGAAAACCTATCGGCTGTATTATCGTCGGCTCGGCGACTCTCTGAATAAACGTCCCTCGTTATTGTCATCGAGAGAAGCATCTCTTTGTCGAAAGAATCGATGCTAAATGTACCGGCTCCGAAAGTCTGAGCTTCTCGGCTAGATGAATCCACATCGTTTTCAAGCGCCCCTTACTGAAACGTTTCTCGTTTTAATTATTCACTGTTCACCGCAATCAACCATTAACTGTTTTCCTCTGTGTACCAAACATTTTTATCGCTCTTCATCCGTTGATTATTCAGCAATTACCACGACTCGATGAATATTGATACAATCGTTTCTATTTTTTGTTCCTTAGGGAAGACTAAAAAAATAACAAATCTATTGTCAGAATCTACTGAATCAGACACTAATTATGTTTTAAAAATGAGCAATTTTACAATTTAGAATTGCAAGAGTCATAGATTCTGAAATGTGCAACTGAGAAAGTATAATATTGAAATTGAAAATATGAATTTGAAATTGGAGCATTTAATCTGTTCTTCATTTTAGAGTCATCTGACGGTCAGATTTGGTCTTCTAAGTCTCTTTAAATCCCAATATCTACCATACTGCTGGTCGGTAAGGGAGGCTTCTATGCCGTCGATATCCTTTCGGCGGGAAATAGAAATGTCCGCGGTCTTTAGTTCGCTTGGTCAACCACAAGCGGCGACTACGAGTTGCTGAAGGCGCCTCCACCTCTAAAGAATTCTTAGTTACCTTCTCAAGGAAAGTAGAAGGCAATTTCTCCAACTATAATACAATTTTTCTCTCGTTTTAACAGCCTTCTTCATTTTGTTGAAAATATTAATCCAGGAAGGTGTCTTCTAAAGATTTACAGTTCCTGCTGGATCTAAATGAAATTCCTCGCATAGCGTCGCGACGCCAGAATACTTATGTTTTAACAGGCCGTAAGAATTTAAATTCGTGTTAGCATTTTTCTTCATCGTTCTAATTCCTACGAGTTTCTATATTCTCCAAGAGATACAGAACGTCATTTCAACCCCTTCCATTGATTCCCTTTCCTCATCCTGTTACAACTAAACTTCTCACAAACTTATTGCACGATCTTGATATCTTTGCCTCAAACAAGACAGGAAATCGAAACTTTTAGTCGAGGAAGACAAGTCGACCAAAGTTTTGAATGAAAAGTGAAATACCATCGGGCATCTGGATGGCTACGAGAAGGTTCGCAATGTAGGTTGAACTCATAAATTGATTCCATCGATCCTTCGATGCTCGAACATTATTAGAAACGACGCTGTCGAGATTATTTGCTTTGGCGTTGAGCTACCTGTTCAACAGCTTTGACAAATTTTAGTAGCTCGTTGATTCAACCTAGACACAACCCAGACCTACTTATCGATTACAGTGCCCATTTCTGACAAGATGTTTGACATCTTGATTTCGCGTCGTCCTTACACCATGTTCCCTGGGGGTAATCTTCATACATGAATAATGAGTACAAGTGATCAAATTCAACTTTTACCCTCATGAATTCCCAAAATCCTTTCATGTCTCATTCAGCTATTAAAGATTCATCGATGCAACAGACTTTTCGTTTTGTCAAATTTCATTTTGGAAAGTAGTTTTCAGTTTGAAATGAAAATCTCGACAAATCCCAATGAAAATCAGACATGATACCAGTCTCCTCTGTCGCTGATTCACGTACCCACCAAAGAGTACATCTTCTTCCCGTGTTCCCTCGTTGAAAGAGGAAAATTACGACGGATCGAGCTCTCTCTCTCTGGCTGGCTGGCTGGCTGGCAGAGTTTTCGGTGTGGCGGCCACGGTTTTATTTATAGCGGAGGAGGTCGTGATGCGTTCCAAAAGCTACTCGTCGCACCAGTAGCACACGTACAAGCATACCGGCCTCGTCTCGTACCAGTTTCATCGGCGATCAGCGTCTGTTCATCTCGAAGTCGAAGAGACAACGGACTATAAAGGGGACGTCAAACCTCCAGACCGTTCGCGAATCGATCGGAATCATCGATCGTCGATCGAAACCGTGAATCCTTCTCGATCTTCCGGCACGCGTGTTCGATTCGTTCCACCCGGTGTACACGTGTACCGTGTTCGTCTTCAGGAACCAAGTGCTTCGTGGACTCGATTTACGTGAATTGGTGGCTCATTCCAGAGGGAAAAAGATCATTCGCCTACATAGTGTGTGTGTATACGTGTGGAGGTGGATGAATGAACCGAACAGGATGAATTGAAAGAGTGGTAGGTTTCTTCGAGGAATCGGTGACTGCATCAGTCTCTTCTTTTTTCTCATTGCAGACGATTCGAATTTCTGTACAGAGATATAGTGAATAAAAAAAGTATTGGTTTAATTAAGCATCATGAATTAAGGACATTTTTATTGGCCTTAAAAAGCATTCGACGTGATCGTAACAATACTTTTTTGATTCATCATAGGTATCTGTAAGTTTCCCTTTTTTGGTTACAAAGTCGTGGTTCAGAAGTCAAGGTTAAGGCTGATAGTTTATGCGTTCGGTATTGTATGCACCTTGAAGAAGCACGTCATCAGGTATCGTGTTTAACGTTCGGCATGGATCCAAAGATCGGACGTCGCGCGACGGACATTAATAATCGTTAATTTTCACGGGACAATTACGCTGTTTTCTCTCTTCTAGTCGTTCGTTATCAATCTCGTAATTTTTTTGCATCGATGCGATCGACACCGGAAACAGAGTCGCCGAGTGGGTGAAGTGAGAACGAACTGACAGCCGGCCCGTGATAAATGCGGTTTCGAACCAGGACTCGACGTGCCTCGTGCCGGAAGTCGATGGACTCGCGAAGCTGACGAAAGCTGATCCACGTAGGCGATCGTGTAAACGGTTTCATTCATCCGATCCTTCACACTGCTGGTGATTTTCACGAGATAGAACACGGTTCACACGAGCAATCGCCATTTCTGCGAGCTCTTTTGTACTCGTGTACCCTGAGGAATGGCGCATCTTCGACGACCGGTCAGGAGGGAGCATTACAAGCCCTTTGGCAGAAGGAAGGTAAACGAAAGAAGACTAACAGATGGCACAATTTTTTTTTCTACTAACTCCATTGAGTTTAATGCGATAGAAATGGAATGATGAAGAGTTAGTAATAATTTGAAAAAGTTCAGCGGTAATAGAAGAATATAATAAGATTATTTTCTTTCGAGTGCCTTGTGTAACCGGTCTATTCTTGAAATTGTACTTTAAATGACAGGATGCTCTGATGCCGCGTTTATACTGAAATAGCTGCGACGTCCTTCGATGCCCGAGTGTCCTCTTGGTCGCCAAGTTTGCCAGATCAGCCTTTTGTAATGTGTATTTCGTATCGTTTGCAAATTGAACATAGTTTCTTTCAACTTTCAGAAGCAAACATCCCTTGTTCCTATAAGAAGACTCCTAATCGACGAGTGAACCTTGATTCTATATCGATTTCGTAAAAAGAGGGTCTCGAAAAAATCATTCAATTATTCACAATTGTCCCCCGATACGAAAAGAAAAAGGTTTCCATTCCCGATTGGTATAACCCGACGAACTCATCGGCTAAACATTCGATTCATCCGAATGACACAGTTTCGGTCTCGGAAACCTTTGACCGCAGCGACGACGTTCAAGACGCCTCGTGGTTTCACGATTCAAGGATCGTCGTCTCACACAGAGGCACACCTACGTGTGTAGGTAGAGCTTGATAGGACACGTTGCCTTCAGGGTGCACTGGCCTGGCGTTGTCGTGTGGGTCGCAACGGGTGGCGAAGATCGGGACGGCAGAGAGGGGTAGCGGATCGATATAGTTACGGGGGTGTCGTCCGGCTTCCTCGGTGGCGCCACAGAGCGGGTGAGTCGGCAAACCCTTAGGCCGATGTATCAACTAACCCAGGAACGCGATTCGCGTTCGTGGGGACGTGGAGAACGTAGTGTCAGTACGCGGAGAAACCTCGTCCCATCGTGGTTCGCTCGTGTTCACCTCCAATTGTGTGCCTCTCGAAAGGTGTTATCGAGAAATCGCACTGTGCTTCCGGTTCACGGAGGTCGAAAACAACACGCGTCCAGCCGGCAGCCTGGTGATACACGCACGCGACCGTGGCAAATTTTCGACGTTTCCAAGCTGTTGATATTTGTTTTTCTCGTTTGTTTCCGCGCGAGACGATCGAACGCAGGTACAGGCTGATTAAGATAACGAAGGGTGATTTTAATCGCGAAGGATGCAGATGGACGCAGGCAGAGAATCTCCTGGATAAATGTTGATAACGACGTCGTGGCGGGCCGAGTCGATCGAATGAACATGAACTCGCCACTCCACGATGTCGTTGACCCGCTTACGAGCGTCCTCCGCTTTCATAGCCTCTCTGTCGCGAGTTTTCGTAGGTTTCCTGTGGATTTCTCGTGTTCGCGAACGACTCGAGTGGAACGTGCTCCTCTCCTGTGAAGTGGTGAAACGCCTACAGTGAGACGTCTATTCTTCTTCTTCTTCTTCTTTCTCCATCTGGTTTTGTTCTCATTCTTCCTCCTATTTTTTTGTTGGTGCTTACCGTAGTCGCTCTCCGAGCAAATTACGTCGCGGCAGTGTCCGGAAGGAAGACAAAAAGGACGTTTTCCCTTGGATAAGAAGAGCCTATTATTCTTCACAGGACACTGCCATTATCCTTAACAAAAGCTTGCTTTTCCTTCTTCGACGCGTCTCTTCGTACCTTTCAGCATTCACCGGATGTGTTATCCACCGGTTGGTTAATTGCTTCTTCGAATTATCCTTCGCTGTTTACAAAAGGATAACCCCCGAGGATGGTACACGATCTCAACGAGGTCAACCGAATCGATTCCACTTCGTCGCGTTGCCGATAATTCCGGAGCATTTATGTTTTCCATGAATTTCTGCTAGGAAGTATGCGGTTTATGGAACCAGTACGCGCTAATTAATTATCCAGTTAGCGAACAATCGAGGGAGTTGCGTGACGTTCCACTCGTGCGGCCTTTTCTGTAATATAATCCAGTTTCTATTTTCACGTTCCATTTGTCCCTGAAACATCGTAGCTACGCACATTCGACATGGTCATCAATTTCCATATCCAGCATCATCGGATGCCTCGGTTTTAATTAATACATCCGAGGCTGACGCTTCACACGTTCGGCAGGAATTTCATTATCCATAAATTTGCATAACTTCAGAAGTATTTATCGTGTAGAGCCATGCTTTTCATGATTGAAGCGGACATGGTCATTTATTATCTGCTGAAAGTTCAGTTTCCTAGGACGAGCTTCTATCAAGTTGAAATTGATCCCAGGCCGAAGTAAAGCAATAACCTGGACCTCGCGATGGTTTCCAGGTTACGTGATCAAACTTCGCGACCGATCGACTGTGGCCGAGGTGTCGGGATCCTTTCTCTCGCGACAACACCACCCCCGTCGTTACTTTAATTGCCACGGTGTAATTAACGAGCGAGCAGTCGTTAGGCGGACATAGCCTAGTCGCTTGCAACGAAGACGCTCTTAGGTAGTCTCGTTAAGATCCTCGTCCCTGAGAGCAATTATATCAGCATATTTCGTGACAGTAGTGGAACGGCCGCCAGTCTGGCACCGTGGGCAGAAATCCCTATCGAACGATCCGTCGTAGAAGGATCGACGCGCGAGGAATCCTTGCTGGAATTTTCCTCTCCTTGCCTTTCGACCGGCCGTTTATAGCGGGTGTTCGATAGCAAAGCTTTCCGATAAGCTATGAAATAATTCCAAAGACAACTCGACGCTGTCTGCGTTCATTCATCCCGCGTTTAAAGATCCCGAAGAATTTCAACGAAGAACCGTATTGCCAACAGTGTCCTCGAGAGCGGGCCGAGAGAGGACATCGATCAAAATCTCGAACGTCTCGCGGAGAGTATCTCGATGCTCGCGAAAATCGAAGCACCAGGTGGTCGAGGCGCGATGATCCTCGATAGCCGGGTGTAGATCGGGCACTGGTGTTTGGATGGCTTGCAAAAGGAAGCGAAAAAAGTCGTGGACGAGCGTGTGAGGGGAGGTGTTCGCTGCCCCATGGCCAGCATGGCGTAGCGACGCTACGTAGTCACCCCTTTCTTTCGAAAGCCTTCGAACGAAGCTTGAAGAGTTCGAACGATGAAGCTGGCTGGCAAAGAGGAAGAAACCGAGACGCAATGCGGTAGCTCGTGCTCGGCGAGAGCTTAGCGGATCAACGTCGAGCCTCGGAGCCGACTAGGGTATCGAAACTGGGCCATACAAAGTTCGAGGGCCCGCCGGAAGTGGATCAAAGCCGCTCGAACAACAGCCCTGGCGACGACGGCGCTGCTTTCCGGCGATGATCGGATACAATCAACACAATTCGGGCTACAACAAGCTATTTACCCAGGTACAATGGTCGAGCAGAATCTTTTCAACCCCTCGTTTCGATTGATCAGCAGGGAGATCGACGAGGGACAATTTGTGAACTTGTTGGGTTTAACCCTTCTTCAATTTATCAACTTTGTTTCCACAGATAGCTACTTGGGAAAAGTGAAGAAGATCAGATAAATTTTCAAATAATTATGTCAGCATCCACTTGGTTCAAAATTGTATGAAATCACCACGGTTCTTATAATCCAAAAAAGGGTTAACTAGCTACCTTTTTGGAAGATTCTTCTGCACTTTCAACAAAGTTGTTGGGTTTCATCGTTGAAAGTATCAACGTTCTTCCAGGAGGGTATACTGGAAAGCTTCGAATATAAATTCCAAGAACTTAGAAATTTTTACCAATTCGCTTGGGAACATGAGTCTTATACTGAACATGTTGACAAAGGGAGCATTTCAGGACAGGTTAATAAAGGAATTGCATAGAACGTTTCTCGTAGGGGTTGTTTCATAATAGACACATTGTTAGGATGTTGGGAATATTGGCGAGGGAGGAACGAAATTATGGAATTGATTGATGGTTCGAGCTGGAAATTCCTCGAAAGCTACCTGCTACAGATTTCGTACATAATTTTTTTCGTAACGTTTATGATTGTAGACAATTTTCTCCGTAATATCGAAAACGTCGACAAAAGGACTTTGTATATTTTGAAGTGTTAATTTTTTAATTAAAATCTAAGAAATTATTATTCTTCTATTTTTTAAGCTTTTTAATGCAACATGTTTTAGTATACTAGAGCATAATATTTGCATAAACATCCGTTGTCTAATAATACATGACAGGAAGTTAGTAGGGTGTACGCGAGGGCATAAAGGGTGTGAATGAATTGGCCTCCTTGTGCAAAGTAAATTAATTGCAAGGGAACATGGCGGATGCAAAGTGTCTTCGTCTCTTTTCTCCGTTTATAAAGGGTCTTCTGTGGCGCGCGATGCGTCATAAAAGTTTTACATTAATCAGCCTGGCGTGAAATAAAAGCGGCCAGCCGTGCTATCGTTGCACAGTCTCGATCCTTTACGTTGCACTCTAAATCGATCTGGTTTACATTTTAAGCGTGAAACCGAGCGTTTCCTCTATGCCTCGTTACTCCTGCAGCTGCCGTTTTCATCCTCCTCGCATGCATTTTTATTATTATACAAGTCACTGTTTTCTTTTTTCGTTTATACTGCATCAATATCCCTGTCTTATTCTAATACTTTTTGCTCTTTTCATCTGCAGCGGTAATTTTTAATAATTCACTGCGTTATTCCCTTTTGTTCTTAAATATTAAAACAATATCGATCCGAAATTCTGCATAACAAACTGAGCTCGTAATAAGCGATCTAAGCTTCCTGTGTAAATTATAAATTTTATTGGTACAGAAGATGGTATTTCAGAAATGATATTTTCTAAAATATGAAATACAGGGTTTTGAAATTTTTTTAAATTTCAATGAGGTGTTTCTGAAGAATGGAAGATGATATCGTTGACCGACGTATACGAAAAATAGTTGAAAATGTTTGTTTAAAACCATCTTCGTCCTCGTGTTCCCCGGAGGGTTGAAGAAGGTCGTGGCAGCACGCATAAGACAGGTTTACACAGTCACGCACGAGGAACAGGTAGAGGGACGATTAAGTAAAGGCCGTTGGCATGGCTACAACCCTCAATCGAATGAATTCATGCCCCCGAAAAAATTCCTACGTCGAGGGTGGAGGAGACGATCGTTTTGTAAACGAATCCAATTTATATTCTCTTTCTCCCATTTTCTCTGCGTGCGCGACATCCGAGATGGTCTCTTATCGAATGCAACACGATGGAATGCAAATCGAACGATCTGGCCGGCTGGATACGCGCCTTTGCATTTAATTAATTATCTAATTACAAGATGGCAAACTGTGACTTTGAAAACTTGGATCGATAAGTCGATGTCGTCGCGTCTTTTCTCGCTTAATTACTCGTCTTAGGGGGAGTTCGAATTTTTAATTTATAGCACAATTAAATTTATTTTTATAGCGCGATAAGATTGCCAAGTAATCTGAAAGATTGCACGTCGGGGGTAATTAACGAGGGTTATTAACGATCGAGATAGTTGATTCAACCGGAAGTTGGTTAGACGATAGAGATCGTTTTTGATGTATTGTTGCCAAGAATGGCTACGTTATAGATCGTTTCTTCGACGTTTCACCGGATGTTCTACATGCTGACGCAAGGATCTATGTTGGGCGACGATATAGATAGAATCCTAATTTTTGTCTCAGATTCTTGATCCGACCAAAATAATATTAGTTTATCCAATTGAGTGACAATTACTCATAAGAAACTTTTTCTATATCGCCCTGCATTCACGTAATGTGATTGTTGAATCGCGAAACTGAGTGGAAGTAAAATAAACCGCCACGTCTGACCAATTACGGACCTATTCCACTTGCTCGCGTATTCCCTTATTTTCCTTAGGAAATTCCACAATTTCTCTGCCAACAAAATTAATCCGAATGTTTCAACATCTAAATAAACTAACTATCATGTGAAAATTGCTATTGCATCTCTAAATACTTTGCATTGAACTATAGTTCTCCTTGGTACCAAAAGGGTTAAATTATAAAGTGCAACAGATCGTGCCAATATTTTCTCAATTCTTTGCATAATTATGCACTAGCCCACAGAAATGATGAATATAAAACATCAAAGTGATTCATGGAACAGAAACTAAATCTTTATTCTCTCTGAAGAAGCGGATAGAGTCGCGTAAGGAATTCGATAAAAATTCCGTGGTAATAATGTTGGTCGCTTCGGAGCGTAATTGAAAGGAGTTTGTTTTGTATTCCAGGGCTCGGCGGACTCAAACTACTCACAGCCGAGCTCGGATCTCTCGCTGGACGAGGAGAAAGAGAGCTTGCGTCGTGAGAAGGAGAGGCAGGCCCTCAATCAACTTGAAAAAGCCAGGGTAAGTCATTGATCTTTCGCATGTTCCACTTTCCTCACCTTTTTCCCACCCCCCCGTGAGAGCTTGTTTTTCCGTCGGCCTTTCGTAAATCGTTTCGTATCGATCGATAACTTCCGAACAAGAGCGTCATTGCTTTCGACGCGACAAGCGAGCCGAAGTCACAGCCTGGAACGAGAAGCGTGTCGATGAATAGACTAATGAAACCAATTAAACGTCCCGTGATTCCTTTGTTTTCCGTCGTGCAGATGCAGATTCATTATACAAGGCGCGATATTATTCATTTTAACCCCTGAAATATCAAAGGCTGCGGGGCACCTTGCGTTAAATTTAAGGGTTGAAAGGCGCGGCTTAAGAAAATGATAAAAAATCCTTACGAACGTCCTCCAGGATACTCGAACGATCGCTGGAATTACCTTCGACCAGACAATAAATGAATATTGATTATCTTAGCCACGACCTTCGAAGGGTAGAGCATCGTAATAAACACGAACGAACCCCTATCGATGTAGCACGGTTTTATTTCTTGTCAGCGGCAAGCTGTCACGTGAGCGGCGTTCACAATATACCAATCATCCGTGATCTAATCGGCTTTTGTTTTATGCTTAAGTTACAATTGCACAATTATTTGTTACGGACTAAAGGACCGTACGAATTGACCCGATAGAAAAATCAATATAACTGACAATGAAACGGGCTTTTAAAAAAATACTTGCAAAGATCCTTTGTAATTATAGGAACCTTGTTAACGATGAGCCTTTGTTAATTATCTAGACGAAACCGGTAGCGTTTGCAGTGCGGACCAATGTGAGCTATGACGGATCCGTCGACGACGATTCGCCGGTTCATGGCTCGGCTGTCAGCTTCGACGTTCGTGATTTTCTGCACATCAAGGTAAATTTATTCGAATCTTGAAGTCTGGATAAATTATAACCCAGACCTATGCGAAGCGTTTTCATTGTTATAATTAACGCGTTAATTTTTTCCGGGCTACTCTTCAGGAGAAGTACGATAACAATTGGTGGATAGGTAGACTGGTGAAAGAGAACTCGGACGTCGGTTTCATCCCTTCACCGGTGAAGTTGGAAGCCCTTAGGCAGCAGGCGAGCGCTGCACGTGGCACGAAGGGTCTCTATTCGGCTCGTGGAGGGTCTTCAGGGAACCTTGGCGAGAGTGGTATGCCCTCACGTGGTTCCACACCACCTACACCAGGTATCCTAGCACGTCCTTCTTTCTTTCCGACCCGAATACCACGGTGTACCTACTTGTTCGGGAATTCTCTCATCTCGACCGATCGATGACAAGAGTCCGACCGAGAAAACAGACGGAGGGATTGTATCCACGGCCAGTCGTATAAAAAAACCGAGACAGACAGAGAGAGAGAGAAAAAAAAAACAATGAACACTTTCGCTTGCTGCCATAAGTATCTGACCAACTCAAACACCGTAGCTTTCGTTCTATATCGCAAGCATTCTACGCGAGCTTTTCTTTTTTCTACCCCCTTTTTCATCCCCCTTTTTTTTAGTTGCGACGTGAATCGTCAGTAGCTATGGTCAAGTTATCGAGTTAGAATTATAGAGGGTATTTTAGTAATCGTCGCGTGGGTCATTGAGAAAGTTTTCTTCAAAAAAATTTATTGTTTATATGTTTGAAAACTTTCTGAATGACTTACGCGCACGAATAAGATCGTCCGCTTGATACTAGTGGTAATTTTTGTTCGCTTTTCGATCAGAACCTTCACTAGTCGACATACAAACACGTCTACACTTAATGTGCACAAATACACACGATACTCGTCTATTCGCTGTAAATGAACTTTTAATATTAGGTTGTTGCATATCAAATGACCGGATCTCTTGTTTTTTTTTAAAGTTGAAAATTGTACGAATTAATTTCATATGTGACAATCTAATAGCTTCCACGTATCTTCAAGACCAATGCATCGAATTAGTACCCTAGATTCTTAGATTGCATTCAAGCTTCTCATTTAGTTTCCTTGAGAGAAAGAGGGACACTTATCGATGCACAGGAGATGGCAATGATTTATCCCACGAGTTAATTGAAATGATATTTCATTGACAGGTGACGATAGCGACAGTGTGGGAAACGTACGTGGCGGTAAGGCGACGCTGACCACACCACCTGCCAAGGAGAAACGGAAGAACTTCTTCAAGAAGCCGGTAAAGGATCATCAACCTAACCATCTCGATTCCTTTTTTTGTATTTTCTTGCGATCCGTGCCTGGATGTTCTCGTTGAATCGAATCGAGAACAGCCGGTGGTATGCGGGAAGTCTCGTCCGTTTTGTTTAAAGGCTGGTCGAAACCGTTTGTATATTCGATACACGATGCTTTACGATCCGCGTACCGATCGTCAGACGAGATTAACATTTTTCATGGATTTGGCAAAGATTCGGCGTGTGCGATAAAGCCGGTGACGTGGACGAGGCTTTCGTGTCTAAATTTATCAGTCGGTGCTAGAAAATATCGTGGGCCACGCGAGGACTAGCAGATTTATTTCTGTGAGTATGCGACTCTCTGTGCGCGATATGCGTTAGATCTCTTCTTCCCTGAGCACCGTCGTACGTTTGTAAACTTTCTGAATCAAAGAGAACGAGTTTGTGGAATAATTTCGAACAATTGTCGATTGATGAAGATCAACTTTGTTCGTGGGTTTCCAGGAAACGACTACACCGTATGACGTGGTACCTTCTATGAGGCCTGTGGTCCTGGTGGGTCCTTCGTTGAAGGGTTATCAGGTGACGGATATGATGCAGAAGGCTTTGTTTGATTTTCTGAAGCATCGGTTTGCTGGCAGGTCGGTTCATTTATCAGTTTATTATTTCTTCGTAACACGTGTCAAGGTCCTAGATATCAACATGGACCTCGTCCAAGAAGATAAATAAATTCCTTTGTTTCCAGAATAATTATCACTAGGGTAATGGCAGACATTTCGCTAGCGAAGAGATCATTGCTAAATAATCCAACTAAAAGAGCGATCATGGAACGATCGACCAGTAGGAGCAGCTGTCTGGCGGAGGTTCAAGCTGAGATTGAAAGGATTTTCGAGCTGGCCAGAACCTTACAGGTAATTAAACAGTCGTCATCCCTTAAATCCATTCTTCCACGTCATCTTCGTCTCTTCCAGCTGGTGGTTCTCGATTGCGACACCATTAATCATCCGTCGCAGTTGGCGAAGACCAGTCTAGCACCAACGATCGTCTACCTGAAGATCTCGTCGCCGAAAGTGCTGCAGAGGTTGATCAAAACGCGTGGCAAGTCTCAGATCAGACACCTGAACGTACAAATGGTAGCAGCGGAGAAGTTGGCCCAGTGTCCGCCGGAGATGTTCGACGTGATCCTGGATGAGAATCAGTTGGAGGAAGCTTGCGAACACGTGGCCGAGTACCTGGAAGCTTACTGGAGGGCCACGCATCCTCCTGTGATCGCGTCGGTGCCACGGCCCATTCCTGCACCCGACGTACCTGTGGATGCGTTGACACCTCGCGTCACATCAGGTATCCCGTTCATTCCGACACCGTGAGATCATGGCCATACGAATTCGTCGAGGTTCGCTACGTAGTTGTGTAAATGGTTTCGAAGTACAAATATTCTACGTGATTTTCATTATCGCGGAGAATGGAGTCGCTGATGGGATCACGCCGGTCTGGATGGGTGACCTGGTTAGGGGGCCTTCAGGGTAGAGTATTTGTATTTAGAAAAGTTCCATCGGACGATGCTGGTTTCTCGTTCGACATCCGTGAACTAGAGATTACGAATTCGCGATTCGAACAGGAAAATCGAGCATATCATTCAACGGATCGATGATCATTGATTTTTCATCTATCACGATTATCCTCTTATAGACTCCATACGATCCTCTCTTCTCCGGTCATGACGCTGGGTCGAGGTTTCTAATTCATTCGAAATTCTTTAACAAGTTCCAATTTTCGTCGACTAACAAGTTCTTGCCTCTTTAGGTAGCTGTCACGAGAGTTACCACGAGCCAAGAGGTAACTCAAACCTACTCCTCGAGCAATATCCTTTTTTTAATTTTTCAGATTAAGTAATAATAAATCATGTAACAAACATCCTTCTCCTACTTAACCGTCGCGCAGTGTTCCGTTACTTGCTTGTAGAAAGAGGGAATAAAAGATCCTGTAATTACTCTTTCGAATACCTTCTGTCTTATGGAGATATTTCTGGTGAATACTGGCGACATTCGAAGCTAGTAATGAAACACGTCTATAGTAACTGATATCATTTAGCTGCACGTAGCCGTTGCATGGACTCGTGTTAGAATGTAGAGCTATTCTTATCGGGAAAGACTGCTAGTGATTGTACAACCTATACTGAGCCTTGTAAATTATTACGATACGTTCGATATCAGCTGCACGCCTTTCTTTATATGCACATTAAATCGTTTGAACGACACAGGAAATACATATTATCTATTTCTTCTTCTTGTAAATACTCTGCTCTACTTTTGTGCGAATTCGATCGGTGCTGTTCAGACAAAGCTTTAGAATCTCGTTTATTTTTATATTAAATTCGCGTACGTGTCCTAAGAACAGCGCCGATTTAAGATTGTCCTGTCGGTGATAAAATATATCTGTTATTTCAGCCAAGTGTCATTTCTAATGGAATCGTTTGAAAATGAAAACGTTTCGAATTAGAATGCTTTTATCTTGCTTTTAAATAGTTCCTCCAAGACACTTATCTGAGTTTTACCATCATCATATTTCACTCACCGACAGTGCAAACTACGTATACTTCCGCGTTCTATGCATGATCAGATAGATTGAAACTAGCAGTCTTTAAGTTATTCGAGAGATACGATCGAGAATTACACGTACGTTTGTCGTGATGGACGATTGATCGATGAGAAAGCACGACACCTTTACATTGAATTTCTTTTCAGCGACAATGTATGGATCGGCAAACTTGTATCAACCGCAGCAAGACAATGGCGCGCTTGCTCTCGTTAGTTTCAACCACGTGTTCATCTTGTTTTTTCTTTGTTCATCGACTCCTTATCCTGCACTCCGTCCGACATGAACAAACCATACGATTTTTATGCGTTCATTTCATCTATATGATCGTTTATCACATCTCTAGCTGCAGCTTACCTCGTGCACGCTGCGCTCTCGATTACCTTGACACGAGTGGATTTCATTGTTTCTATTCGAAATTGTTCAAATTTTCGTAATGACCCTAATAGGAAGCCCTAATATTCATCGGCATCGACTAATGATGCTAATTCTATTAATTTGAAATTAGGTTACACGAAATCCATTCGTGTCCTCGTGCTACGCAAAACTAACACCACCCCAGCTACAGCCTTTAAAAGATCCTAGAACGTGATATCAATTCCGTAAAAATCCTTTTTCGTTTCACTCAAGATTCCATGCTTTGCATTCATTTCGCGATGTTCTCAACGAGACGGAGACCTCGTAAAAATCACGAAAAATTACATAAACCGAAAAAAAAAAGAAAAAGTAACAGTATCGGTAGGCCAGGTTCACGCACAATTGGCAATCAGCTCTGACTCCGATGTTCTCTTTGTTTACGTGTAAAAGCCGTGGAGGCGGTGGCTGCCACGGGAGTCATCCGAAAACAGGGCCAGTTCACCTTAGGTCGGGGTGACGAGAACAAGCCCAAAGAGTCGAGCTAAGCAAAATGCTCTCACATACAACGAGGGTCGGCCTTGAAAATAAACGACCGACCTCTTCCACACTTCTTCCTCATCATGGATGAGATTTAACCGGGCTAGACCGACCGATGAATTGTGCAACTCGTCCTCCCCGACCAACTCCTTAATACGGGGATACGATTGAGAGAATTAGAGACTGTGTGTAATAGGGAAACATCCTTTATGAGGTCGCGTTGTAAGTACAGACGGGTTTGGTGCATGGGCCCGGTGAACGGGACCTACCTGTTTCTCTTGCCCAAAGAGAAGGATTTATGATTTATTATATATTATCACTTTTGTTCGTCACAATACCCATGATGTTCCTCCTCGTTTTATCTGTTTCTACTTTTTTTTTATTATTATTCTTTCTTTTGTTGAATCCATATATCAGGACCGTTTTCCTTTCGTTCAACTCTAATTTCGTTATTAACCCCTTAATCCTTATTATTAATGAATAAATTAATTTTTTCAAATCGATGATTCTCGGAAGATGGATCATTGAAATAAATATAACTTAAATTTAGAATTTAGATAAAATATTTCTGAGCGTTAAGGGGTTAAGATTTTGATTTTCTTGACTTTGGTTCCTTTTACGTAAATCTTTTTTTTTATTGTCTGTCTCGCAAGCCCTTCACCAACCCTTCTCAATATAGAATAGGCTGATAGAGTAGTTTAACGTGTTAGAGGCATTAACGAGAGAAGTTGTCGATGTTAATTGGACCTCGTTCGCGGGTTTCCTTCGAACAGGATCTTCGAAATCCTTCTTTTGGGACATTGGCTTGTTTTTGTGCCCCTCTTCCCACCTTTTTCTAATGCGACATTCTCGTATCGCGGATGTTTCTTTTCTTTTTTTATTCGCCCGCGAAAGGAACGAGTCCACGAATGAGGGACTCGACGACCAAGTTTTCAGACTTTCCCCGATTCCTTGCGCTCCCACGCAAGGATCCAGCTCGAACGTCGGAGTCTTTGCAGCGTGTTATTTTACCTTGTCGATATTTTTTTTTTTATTTTGCCTTTTTTTCCGGTCTTTTTGCATAGCTAGCCCTGCATGCACTGACTGTTAGTAGTGTGAGGTGTTTTCAGTTTTCTTAGATGTGACACGTAGTAGGTGGATTGAATTGGTTCCTCACCGTTTGACAGTGACCATTAACTGTAATCGAAGTAACATTCTATCTGATAATATAGTTTTTGGAGTGGAAATAGTGAGACTTGTCGGGTCTCAAGTTCGACGTAATGATATTTAGTTAATTAAAATAATTTGGTACTAGCTACGTCAAGCTTGAGAAATTAAAATTCGAAAGGATCTATCATTGACAAACTTTTCTTTTTACAAGAAAACTTATTATATGCAAGTAGAAAAGTTACCCTTTCGAATTTTATTATAATCAACCCCGAATTACTGTAACCCAAACTTACCATTTGTTTCAAAATAGATTTCTAATCGGTATCGTAGGGTTACAGTAATTCAAGCAAAGTCAATGAAAGATCAAGTTCACGAAATGACAAGTCTGTTGAAATTCAGGATCGGGCTCGTACAGCGGCGGACACGTGAGCGAGGGAACGAGAAGATCGAGGTTGGAGAGGATGGATCGTGATCGTGGTGATCGTGGTGAACACGATTATGGGACCGAGGAGGAATCGTACGTTGGTGGCGTCGATTACGGCAGTGCATCGAGGCGTCGCCAGCAGCAAGACCCGCGCGCATTAAATGCCATTTAGGAGCTGGGGCCCCGGGGCCTGTCGCTACTGCGCTGTCCCCACCTGCGCACCACTGCTCTTTAGTGGGGTCGCCACCTGGTACGCTACTGAAAAACGTACGAAGTGCTTATAAAAATGCTACCTTAGCGAAAATTTGTCGCTCTGGTCTGTCAGTGGGGTTTCTTTCCTGTCCGCTATCCGTATGAACGTTTATTTTCCGATTTCGCTAGCCGAGTAAAATGATACACGCTTCGAAAAATATGCTGCCGCCAGCCTCCACGGAATTCTGTTTCCTTTTTATTCCTTTCGCCGCCCAAAATATATTGGGTGATACCCAGTCTTCGGTAAATTAAATCGATTGATTTCGTACGATCTATGATGGAACGTACATGCACGACAAGAATAACGTAGAATCCTCTTACAACGTTATCCCCTTCTGTTCGTTTACAGAGTTTCAATTATCGAATTCGCTGTAATGGAATGAAAGAATGCGAGAGAGTGAGAGCAAGAGGAGAGTGATCGATTTAGCCAGCGAAAACTTTCACGAGCATTATTTCCAACAGGAATTCCGCAAACGATGGGCGGGGTTGAAACGAATTATCGAAATGTCCTAATCGATGCGGTACGCACAGGATAAATCCCCCATTCGCGGAACCAGCTCAACGAGATGAGTATAATTACGTGAACAAATCAAAGAAACATACGTTCATGAGAATGATAGTGTATCGAGAGAGAAAGGGTGAGAGGGTAAGAGAGAAAGAAATGAAAGAGGGATAAAAAGAGCCCTGGGGCCTTAATTTTTGCGCTCACTCCTCCCGGGCCCCTATACCCACCCCCACGAGAAGCAAATCGAGCTTCGTGATTGCGAATAATTATCTATGAGAGCTTCGTGAATCGGCATCGGGTATTCAAAGGCACGAGATCTTCGCTCGAAAGTTAGATAGACGATCGTTCTGGTAAACGAAGAAATACGAGGGAAGAAAAACTATACGGGAAAATTTCGATACGAATTTTTGCGTAGTATTCTTTCAATTCGGCCACGAGAACAATGATAGTCGCTTCGACATAGAGGAAAATCATTAAAGAAAATAAGAAACGAAGAAAGTCACTCTAGTCGAATATGTTTAGTATCGATCGCATGGTAAATTCTATATTAGGAATTTTCGTATATAAACGAATTTTCAACGATTACGAAATCGGTGCAAGACGAATTATACGCGCGTGGCGATGGGTTGGGATCAGATCATTCTGATAAATATAATCGAACAGTTGAAAGTTTTCGACTATCGAAGCGCGTTGACGATCGCCGCGCTAGGCTGACGTGTTTATACGTTTTATTAGAGTCTATTACGTGGAACAGGATATACACAGGTACATACGAACACGAAAAGGACATGCACACATACACATATGTACATTATTGGTCAAAAAAGTATGGGACCATTTGCAGTGAATATCTTTAACCATTTCGCTATTAAAATTATTAAAAACACTTGTAGTAACAGATATATCTATCTTTTTTGCTCGGTACTCAAATCCTCTGAAATTTGTAATTTTCCAATTAAAATGGTTCCATACCTTCGGCCATCGGTGTATATACACAGGACAACACGGTAACACTTTGAACACTACTTTGTGTATATAGTATACATACATAAATAATAATATATAAATATGAATATATTGTATACGCGGTGAACACTTCCATCTCTGTCGCTCGACAAAAATGAATCTCGATCGAGGCAAAGCGAGAGAAAAGTAGAGTGAAAGAGAGACAGAGTGAAAGGGTGGGAGAGAAAGAGAAAGAATGAAGATGATACTATACCATAGATAACGAATCCAATAGTTATACTGTGTACATATTGTAAGAAGCCTTTAAAAGAACGAGTCCTTTTCGTTTCGATTGCCGTAAACTCAGTGTTGTCAGGCTGCATCGTGGATCACTTTGTACACTAAAGCAGATTTTCATTGTTATCGACACATTTTTCAGTCCTCGTTGTTATCAATCTCTACGCTTTTGATGCACTACGATTTTCCTGCAACCACAAGATATTTACCGAATAATTGATACAGACATACATACACGTACACTTACACAGATTGCATGGATCCAATCGTGGCAACCGATAACACCGATGGAGTTCTGATAGCTCACGTGTTTGTTGGCCTTTAACCCTTTCGGTGCTAAATACTTCTGATATAAAATTTCTTTGCACAGGTTTCAATTTTGTTATCATTTAAAAATTGACAAATTTTCATCCACTCAGCCACTGGACAATGCAACAGAATTGTTAAAATTCATAGCACCGAAAGGGTTAATGGCACGTCATTTCTTGAACAAAACGAACAAATCTCGGGCACGTTATTCTTGAAAAGAGTCTAATGAATTTTGAACAATTCAAACAGCGACGTGCGTCGTTTAGATTAGTGAGATAGGAACGAGGCGTTCCATTCCGAAGGATTATGTTCGAATAGTGTGCTTTTGCAACACGAATTTGACGCGTGTTATTGCTATGTGAATTTTAGTCAAGCTCTTTTATCGTTTCAAAGCTATTTTATGCACCATTATCGACCGATCGCTGGCACCGTTTGTTCTAAAAACGATCGACAACTCGAATCGATCATTTTTTATTTCGCAAAACTCGAACGTGGATCGTCTCCTTCTTTGGACGTTATTCCGTTTGTTGTTCTTTCGAATTGTCGCGAAGGAGGCGTGTTTTCGTCAGCGATCCGGCCTCGTTCGATCGAGAATAATTGAAAGTGTTTCGATATTTCTCGTTAAGACTCGTTGTTTATTCGCCAGCAAGTGATTGGCGCGGGAAGATTATATTAGGCAGGTGTTCGCGCGCGTAACAGATGGGATGTTTTTTGTTTTCATCGCGCGTTAAACACCGTTCATTAAAATTAACCGGCGCCTCGAGAGATCATCCGATGGATGTTTACGAATGAAACATTCCTCGGCTAAGAATCTTAACGGCGCCTTAACGATTAGATAGATGTTCGTGCGAAGATCAGCCTTCGATAAGTTTCTAAATCTTTGCTTGCTACGCTGTTAAACGAATTTCAACGGCGCCACGTGCCGCTCTTGATTTCGCTTATCGACGTTGAAAGTTTCACTCTTTTAGGCAAAGAGAATTTTTTTGTAAAGATACAACAATTGTAAGAATGCGAAGCATCGTATGCAAGGAACGATTGCGTCGTTCGGTATTCGCCGAGTAAAAAGAATTACGTTCGAGCGTAAAAGTGCTCGATTATTGTAAAATCATTTCGCAGCCGACGTTTGTAAATACTAGGTGAAATATATATTTGCAAGGCACGATCATTGGTGACGTATCGACTGGATGATACTCACGCTTCCACTTGTGTACAGGCGCGTTTGCCTTTTTGCATTCGACGTTTGAACGAAGCGTTTGAAGTTCGATCGAACACGAATGCTCCGTAGTAGCAACAATTTCTTTCGTACTTTGATTCTTCATGCCTGATAGAAGATATTCATTCGTGGAACAGCACGGGATTATGCGATTCCGCGATTATTTTAACAATTTTTCGCTTCGTTCCTGGAGAGTAACTATGCATAACTTTGTGACGCGTAGATCGATTGATTTTGAAATCGTTAGTCACGTAGGCGCAACCGACGTAATTAAAGCGATCGATAGAGGAAACGTACGACTACGTCGAGCTGACGGGGTCGTTAGAATTATTGGAAATTTTTTATAATATTTTGTAAAGAGTCTCAATAGGCAGCGATAGAAACCCACATCACGCAGACCTGGAACGAACATGTTTAGGACGTGTTACAGTGACACAAATACAACATAACACAACATAAAAGATCGTACGCGAACCGCGATTATTCCGTAGAGTACGATTTACGTAGCTACTTTAAAACGGAACGAGCAAGCATTCCATCGCGTCGGCTTGTACGGATTTCAGTTTAGAAGTTTAGCAGCTTCCGGTCCGTTCTTTCTTTCGGTGTATCGTCGAGAATAGAGTTCGAGAATCTGTAAACGTCCACTAGGTCGCTAAATTAACGTCAGACGAAAGAAATAAGGAATCGAGTAGTGGATTAATCGCGAACAATTCGGATTTACTTATAAATCTCTTCGTAGTTGTCTCTTTGTAAACGAATCTATAGTTACCGCTCACGCGTGACGCTCGTTCGATGCGTAGAAGATGAACACACACCTATCTAGAGAAGAAAAGAAATCTCCACCTGCCCCCTTCAAAAAAGCAAAAACGAAAAAAATTAAAAAAAAAAAAGAAAATCAACACAGAAATAGTAAAAATTGAACGGATACGCGATAACGGGAACGCTGAAAGTTCAATCGGGAACACTAATCGAAAAGACTAAAAATGTTTAAGAAAAAAAAAAATACTGTTTGGAAAAAGCGAGAGAGGGAAGACTGGAAGCGAGGGCGAACCTTTCAGGGTGCAAATGAGCGTACAATTCGTTGAAAATGGGCGCGAATTGATTCTTTAATTACGTGGGAGTGAAGTTTATGCGCGTTGGTTGCACGTGAACGTTGTTAATTAAAAAAGAAGTCTGCTTTATCGGCGTCGTGAAACGATTTTCGACGTCATCCACGAACGCAACCCTAATATGATGGTTGGAAGGTCCAATGAAAAAAAAAAAAAGAAAAAAAATATGAGAACGATGCATCGACGAAGGGAGGAACGATTTTTCTTTGTTTTGTTGATCGACGAAAGTGTGTTTCGTGTTCTGAACAACCCTTGGTCGATGATCATTGTGTCTCGATATGCTTAGAGATATCGCGAAACGCCTGTCCCTGTAAACGAGCCTTAAGGCTTTCGCAATAAATATTGTTGGCCATGGTTACGCTATGATTTCGAAAATGTATCCGTGTACAGAGAGAAGCGAACAGAGAGACGCGGTAATGAATTCGCGTGGACGCCATTCCCGGTTTGACTCGATGATCGTGACTTTTGCCTCTTCATTCTTTCAACGCTGTTTGAAACGGAAAATGTTTGACTCGTTTCTGTCGGTTCCCTGCTGCTTTCTGTCCGTTATCCGACCATTCGAACGCTTCAGTAGAAAGCACACGAAATAGAACAGGACAGACGAAGTATGAGAATAATTATCAATGATTTTCGACTCTAGAAAATTAGATTAAAACGAACGTAGAGGCATTTAGAGATGATCGCATGCAGTCTAAAGGATATTATAAACACGATCGACAAATCGTCACTGCTATTTTGTCACGCCGTCCCAAATACGATCGTCGATTCGAATCAAACCGGCGTCGCTCCGAGGACGAAGTCCTGTCGCCTGTGTACGTGAATTTCCAAAAAAAAACGTGTTCAAATTTTACGTGCTTTCTTACGAGGAGGTAGTTTGCAGCTACCCCACGTGCGCGACACGAGTGTCTATGTACAATTTTCTTTTTCCTTCTTTTGGAAGAAACGCGGGCGCTCACCCACGTCCTTGGTCATTTTTCTTTTGCGGCTGGTTCGTTGGATCAAAGGTTTTTTCCTGTGTATATTGTCTATTATTCCCTCGTGCGATTGGTCTTGGTTACGGTGAGAGAGTGAGAGATTTAATAATTCGTTTTATTTCATTGTTGTTTGCACCAAAATCGTGTGCAAGAAGAAGAGAGAGAGGGGAAGAGTGGAATAGAACAATTGTGTTGGTCGTTTTGGTATTAATCGAATTCAGGATTCGTCTAATTATATCTGGTTTAATGAACCGAAGAAGAAAGATGTACGAGAGTGTGTGTGTGTGTGTCTGTGTGAGTGAACGTTATTGCAAGGGAAAGAAAGAAACGGATGTGAGAGAGACGAGGATTTTGCGGTTTAATGTGCGAGAGATGCGGTTATTCGGAGACGGAATTGAGGCGATTAATTATCGAGATGTTGTAAATTGTTCTATAGCAAAAATGAAAAGTGCTACGGCCGTGGCAGCACGCCTTTTCAGATATCCTTGACGATCGATCACTTTTCGATCTTTGATTAATTGAAAATCAGTTGGAAGGATCTTCGAATGGTATGAAAATTCGATTGCCTTCATTCGATTAATTAATTTCGTTGATGATTCTCGAGAGGCGTGATGCTCTGATCGTTTCGATGTTGATATGTCAATGCTGTGATGTTATCCTTTGAAACTTCAAACGAAAAAAAAAAGTATATTTCCCCTCCCCATCCGCCCCTTTCGACACGCCCCGTCCCAACAATTTTTCCAAACTAAAAAAGTGTCCCGCAAGACGAATCCTTTTCTCCTTTGGAAAATGAATATTTCTATTATTGTAACACTCCGCATAGCCCTTAAAAAATAGCTAGATTCTAATCGTATTTAATGTAAAGTTTATTATTGTTACATCTCAGTGATTCTCTCCTCTATCAGTGATATCACGGAGAGAGAGCGGACGTACAAGTCGAGGACGTTCGCGCGGTTATTGGGGGAGAGAGAGAAATTATTTGTAGAGGTGGTTGAAAGTAAATCGATCGATGATCGACCGATCGTAACGCTCGTTTCTCTCCGATACGTCACTGGTAACCAAAATTCCTACATTTGTCGCATTTGTAAATAAAATTTTTATCATCACACGATGCAATTGCGGCTTTTTCAATATTTTTATCTTTTCTCTGATTAATAATCCAATATCGTCCGACGCTGATTAAGGGTGAAAAGAATTCAATCCACAAAAATGAATACACGTGAAACGATCCATTTTATCTTCAGTGAATTATAAAACGACGTTACAATAAAGATTATTTACACTCTACGATAATTGTATCGTTCGAGATAATACAAGATTCATTGTACTGTTGCAGTTGTTAACTTTCGCATAATCAACCTTCTTAAAGATTAAGCTTTGCATAATTAAAAATAGAAAAATAATGTGTACGTTTTTGCAGCACGGTTCAACTCGATGAGATTTCATATAGCGACTCTTTGGCAATGAAAACTTGAATGATGATAGAGAAGAAAATAATCATTCGTCTATTTACAAAAAGCTATAACATTGATAGTACGTGTTTGTCTTTAAATGCCATTTCCGTTAAAATTAAAGCAGTTAAACTGATTAACCTTGTGCTATCGAAAGGAACGACATGCATACAGGATAAAGTAGATAGCAGAGTCACAATTGTTCATAGCGACAATTGTTAAAATTATTCGACTGATCCTATTTACAACAAATATACTTGAACCCCGCTTAATCGGATTGCACGATAAAATATACAGTCCAGGATTCGGATAATAAGTTAAGATTCCAGCCTCGCGCTCTTAGACACCTTACAGTTATTATAAATAAATAATAGAGTCCATAATTAGCGACGTTCTCGTGATAAATGCAATTCGAAGGATATAAATACACGATTTTAAACCTACGAGATTATTTCGAGCGACGTTTATTCCCTATTAAAAATGTATAAATATTTTTTATTGATACTCTTCGTTGCATATCAAAATCGAAAATCGAACAATGTTCAAATAAGTCTCGAAGGAATTAAATCTGTGAACCCAATTCACACCTACATTTATATAGATGAAAATTAGTCTCTAGAATATTTAAACAAAAGACATTTACACATATACGATTGAATACACTATATAACTAGCGCTTCGTACGTCTACCTTTGGTACAATTCTTCTCCCTACTGACTAATCATTAATTCTCTTTGTTCTGCCTTATGAACGTAAGAAAGCGAAGACACGAACCTGTGCCCTTCTACCACTATCCTCTCAAATCTATCGAAAACACGACATCAACATCCCTCCAAAATGTCATACGAACACACATTCCAGAATAATTTCATCAAACTTCTTCAAACCCTCTACGAGAATGAATCTCTCACTGTTCAAACAAATACTGACAAGTGAGTTCAACGCCATGAAACGAAGCTGCGATCAATCACCTCAGTCCCATCCAAAACAACTCGCGAAGCAATCGATCAAAACACTGAAGATTCTGTTCGTACAAACTTCCGCCATCCAAACGGCAGCCATCTGTAACGCAAATCGTTTATATAAGTTTATATGAACAAATAATTCTCGTAGTCCGCGTACGAGGTTGCGGTGATGTGCTTCGACGAGATCGGGGTCGATGGGACACTCTGAGGCAGTTGTTGCACCCTTGGAACTTGTAACTGGGGCAGTTGCGTTGTATGAGGCACCACGATCCTCGGTTGTTGGTTCAAACAGCTCAACGACAGGTGATGCTGATCCAACTTGTGAATATTATTGTTGTTGATCGAGGTAGGATCCTTGTACAAAGGCAGATGATTGTTGTTGTCGTTGGGCTGATGGTTGTAGTGGGCTTGATGACCGGCGTGCAGGTTCAGTCTTGACATCGCCATGCTGATGCTCGAGTCCGACGCCCACATACTCTGCAAAGAACCCAACAACGATTGTGTAACGAATTTGACTTTCTATTATACATTCTTATGAATAATGCTTGATGCACGCTTCACGCACCGCCTCGAGATGCGTCCGTACGCGTAATTACGCTTGCGACCGTCTTGGAGCAGATCCAAGATGAAGAATTCCTTTGTTTCCACCGTGAGAACACGAGATCGAGGTTTAGCTGTTCAACAACCGTCGCGTTAAGGAGTTTGCTTTTTAATGACTCGTATATTTTTGTTCAGGTTGTTGCGAGAGTCGTTTAAATTGATTTAAGAGTCGTCGACGCGAGTAACGGGAGAGCCGAGATTCGATAGGATGTAAGACGACGAAAATCTGGGTAAATCGAATTCAGCCGGATCGGACGAACGTGTTCTCATGGGAAAACAATAGCGCGGATGGGTTCGATGTTTGTGAAGTCATATTTTATTAGGCGCGATAACAAATTGTTTTAACTGTGAGAAGACATAGGTTGAAGGATTACGGAATAGTAAATAGGATAAATTACTTTTCTCCTGTGCGGATTGTAGTCGGGATTGCGCCTTATGCGAAGATGGCGATCGGCGCTTGTCCATCGTTGCGTGACCTTCAGGGGCGAATCGTCAGGATGCAATTTTCTTTGGTACTCCTCGCCTTCGCAGACCTCGTAGAGAGAAAACTGTTCGACCCGTTCCTTCGAGCTGTAGCAGCTCAACAGCATCTGAATCAGCTCGTCTACGGTGGTCTGTTCCGAGACCAATAGGCTCTTGTATTTCGACTGAAAATTAAAATAAGAAAATGTAGAATGGAGGAGAATATAGAAGAATGGAGTAACTAGAACTTCAAAGAACAGCCTGTAAAAGCAATGGAACTGAGATCGAATGGCAGGAAAGTGCGGGTGTGTAACTTACTCCGGACATGAGTGCGCTGTCGTATATTTTGACAAGCCCTCCACGACGTGTCTGCAAGGAGAATCTGCAACAAGAAAACATCCGTGAATCCTGGGATATCGTCGGCGAGTTCAAAGGGAATCGACGAACACTACTTCTGCGTAAAAACACGGGGACTCGAATGTTCAGTCAAACAGTGTCTCGTCTACGTAACGTACACCTACGCCGGAAGTTTCGAGCTACCAAGAAAACATCGATGGAACCTTTCGTATGTCGACACTTAACGTTCAAACATTCGGTACTCATTTCTCCCTTTCACTTTCAAGACTTTCGAAGGAAAATTTCGATTTAAATGAAAAATTTCTTCATAAAATCGACGAGTGACCCCTCGGCGTTGGAGTAAATAGAAGCAAGTCTCGCGCAGTCGA